CCTTAAATGTTTTTTCTCTTAAGCCTACACCTTCCTCTCGCTCTTCTTTTTCTTCCTCGTTTCTCTCAGAAAGTTTTAACCCCCCCCCCCCTTTTCTCTTCCCCCCACATCCACATTCACCCCGAAACCATTTGCAACCTTCCGACAACAACTTTTCCAAAAAACCTTTTCTTTTCACTGTCTGTTTTTCATTGGAGAAAGTTCCGGGAGATTTTTTTTTTTTTTTGGCTTTTCTGCCTTTTGAGTATTCAGCAACCGTATCGATCGATATGGTTAGAAAAGAAGAAAGAAAAAAAAAAAAAGAAAAGTTAAGTAAAGTTTCATAATAATAATAATAATAACTGAAAACCCCACATCATATATAAAAACCAACTTTAAGACATTTTTTTTTTTTTAAAATCCTTCTTATCATTTACTTTATCATTATCATATCGATAAGAAATATTAATAATAATAATAATAACTTGATAGATAGATTTACGAAACCTTTTTTCCCTTCAAAAATTATTATTTTCCCTTTTTCTGTTTTAGACACGTATATCAATTAATATGAGAAATTTTATCTTACAATCAAATATGGCCGTTCGTATAACTTAAAACCCTTTTCCGTTAGTTTTTAAAAAAAAAACTTTTTATTTTCTATCTCTCTCTCTCTCTCTCTCTCTCTCTCTTTCAAATCATTTGAGATATTTAAAAGTTTTAAAACTTTAAATTATATATATATATATATATTTATGTGTATGTGTATATTTATAAAAAATTAAATTTAATTTACGGATCGTTTAAATAATTTAGTTTAACTAAAAACAAGTTTTAAGATAAATTATTCTTCCTCCTTTTTTAAAATATTCAAATATTAATTTCAACGTTATATTAAACAAATTTAAAGGTTTCTTAAATAAATATATATTTATTACATCAATTAAATTTTACAATTTGAAAAAAAAACCGTTACGTAATCTTGGAAAAATTTTTTAAAAATTTAAAAAAAAAAAAATTGTATGTATAAAATGTTAACAAGAGCATATTGCAAAAAGCTAGAGAGAAAAAGGTTTTAGAAAATGGGGTCGAGTTAACGGGAATATCGACCCGCCTCAAGATGGCGACCCTTCCCCCCCTCCCTTCCCTCTCCTCGTTTCTCCCTCGATCCATCCTTTTTGTCTAAGAAATGGGGGAAGTAAAATGCCTAAGATAAAGTTCTCGAAATTAAAGAATTTTAAAAGCGCCAAGGGAGAAAAGAATAGAAAGAGAGAGAGAGAGAGAGAGAGAGAGAGAGAGAGAGAGAGTGATAAAAAGACGAAGAGGAGGGGAGGGAAAGGAGAAAGGGGATGAAAGGGAAGAAATGATAAAGTATATACGAAATTTACAATTTGAAAAATTTTCCTATACATTATTTTATAATGATTTTACTTACGTATTAAATAAACATGGGCGAAACGTACAAAAAAACGAAAAAATTATTTATATTATATATATTACACACACACACGCATACAACTATTAGGGGAAAATTGGAGAAAGTAAAGGAGAATATTTTTTCCCCTCCGAATAGTAATAATAATAATAATAATTTTTTTTTCATAGGTTTTATATATAGTTTAAGGAAAGGGTGGGGAAAATTATTTGGCCACACCCATTTTATTTTTTCCTTTAAACGAATAGAATTTCCCCTACTCGGAAAACAAAAAACTTTCTTTTCTAAAAAGAACTTATAAGAAAAATACGTAAGAAATTTTTTCTCTTTTTCTTTCTCCTCACCCTCCCCCTCTCTCTCCCTTCCCATCCCATTCCTTTTTTTCTTACTTCTCTCCGCATCCTTCTCACACACTCTTCTCTCCCTTCTCCTTCCCTACCCCCTCCTACACTTTTCCGCGTTTAATTTAAAATTCTTACGAACGAACGAACGAGCGAAAAACAAAATTTGTTGAATCTCCCGCATAATAATAAATTTTCGTCATTTTGTGTGTGACGTCAGAATGTTTATGTTTATCAATTAAAGTCATTTAAATTTTTCCTTTCTTTTTTCCTTTTTTTTTTTTTTTTCTCACTTTTTCTCACCTTTTTAATTCCCGAATAATTTTCTCCTGCTGCTGCTGCTGCTGCTGTTGATAAAAAATTCACAAATTCATTATTATCATTATCATTTATTTAAATAATGAAAAAAAAAAAAATCGGAGGAAAGAAAATATTAAAATCAATATGAAAATCAATCAAAGTGGAAAAAAAAAAAAAAAAATTTCGTACTGTCGAAAATTATAATAATAATAATATTAAATACACGTGTTTAATACGTGGTATTAGAACGTGAAAAATATTCTTCTGCTTTTACGTGACGAATGTCTTTTTTTTTTTTTTTTTGAAAAATAACCGGATATGGAATCAAAAAAAAAAAAAAAAAAAAATCAATAAAACTTTAATAAAACTCAGGTGTTGATATTTATTATTATTATTATTATTTTTTAACTTTTTACATAAAAAAAAAATTTGATTTATTTCTACAAAAAAATTAAATCCGTTGGTGTGCGGGGTGCGGGGGTGCGAGTTCACGCACGTGCGTTATATATAAAAAAAAAAAATTATTTAAATTCAATGACGAAATTTGTTTAAATTTTTTTTCTTTCTTATTAACGACTAAATTTCCAAAAAAAAAAAAAAAAAAACATCCAGTAAGGAATTATTAATAATAATAATAATGATAATAATAATAATAATGATGATAATAATAATAATGGGAGATGATTGAATTTTTTTTTTTTAAAAAAATATATAAACGATGAATAAATATGTTGATTTACCGGTATTTGTGATCAACACCCGTAATATACGATGGCTACTCGACCGGTTATGCAAAAAAAAACCACCCCTAAGGGATGAAACTAGTTATGCATAAGGTCAAATTAGGTTATATAAGAATCAAAAGTGGTCCATAGATATTTGTATAATATCGGATGTTGCAAACAATAAATAAAAATTATGAGAAACGAATCAAGTTTTTTGCTGTTGTTGTTGTTGTCGTGAGATGCAGCAGCATCCCTATGTCATCTTAATAATCGATTATTTCAAACGATTTTCTTATGGATAATAATAATAATTATTAATCTATTACAAATAATAATAATAATAATATTAATTTGGTTTTTTTTAAGGTTTTGACGTTAAAATAATTATAATTGATTGATTTCATCTTTTTCACTTCCGGTTAAATGAATTTTCAAAAAAAAATAATTTTTTCTTAAAAAATCATTTCCGTTTGATTTAATTTTTACATAATTATTTTTTTCTTCTGCTTCTTTTTTATTTATAACAAACAAAAAAATTCTAAATTTGAAATTTTATTAAAACCTTTTTTTTCCCTCTCAAATTTAATCAAACGAAAAATTTAAATTTTATTTTATTAAAATGACACAAAACAACAACAAAGGGAAAGATACAAAAAATTATTTTAAATGATAATAATGATAATAATAATAAATTTTTTCTTTTGCTTTTTTTTTTTTTTCTTTTTAATTATTATTTTTAATTTTACAATTTTATTTATTTTTTTTATTTATTTATTATGCTTTTGTGAAAAATAACATTCGGTTAACACGAAAATATTAACTTAAATCGACCAAAAATCAGTCTTTCTCTGAATAATAATAATAATAATAATAATTAATAATAAAATAATAATAATTAATTAATAATTAATCACTAGTAGTAATAGTAGTAGTAGTAATAATAGTAATAGTAGTAATAATAATAGTAAATTAAACGGTCAAATTTATTCACAATATTAAAGAGAGAGAGAGAGAAAAGGATAAATTTCATATTCTCAAGAGCATAAAACTCACCAAACGATGAAGAGAGAAGAGAGATACAGAAAAGAGAGAGAGAGAGAGAAAAGAAAAAATTAAACACGACGACATCATTAAAAATATTTTTTTTTTTTTTTTTTTTTTTTTGGAAAATACACAAAAAAGAAAATTTTTTTTTTCGAATTTTATTTTAACTTCATTTCACGATTTCGAACATTCTCGCAAATTCAATCATTCAAAATTATACAATTAATTTGAAAAGCGTGTACACGCACGTACGCACACACGCACA